GAAGAAGAAGCCCAGCGTAACGTTGACAAGGCGCGGACGAGCCGGGTGCTAACCGAAACTAAACGATTACGTGAGGCATGTGACGGGTTGCCGTTGTTTTGGGCCAATTGCATTAGTAACGTGTAGCTTATGGTCTTATTTAGCTATATTGTATGTTTAAGGGCTAAAGGTCCTAAAGATAAGAAGTTCGAGGGGGTCTCACCCTTGGTCTTCGCCTCGTTCCCAGTCCCACAAGTGACATCCTTGTTTTATGCTACTGTATTCCTTTCTTGACCACGTGCACTACGATTGACTCCAAAAAAACAAAAAACAAAAAACAAGTGGTTTTTCCTTCCGTTGTCTCCTAAAATGACCCATGAAGCTGCATTAATTGCGAAAATGCCGATGAAGAGGTCGAGTAAACGGATATTCGGAAATCATTGATTGCGATCTTTCGGTGTTGAATGGAAGGAGAAAAAATCACAGGGTTGATATTGGCCCTCTGTTTTCAGCAATCAGCAGCATCAAGGAATATAAGAAAGCCCCTCGTTTTATGCAAACTAGAGAATGGAGAATTCGGATGCTTGGCTGTCTTGAGATTACCTGAACGAAGAGAGATCTATCTTATGCCATTCCAAGAGAAGTGGGAATCTTTCTCTCTCTATATGCTCAAAAAACCTCAAAGTTGTGTTTGAGAACTTGAATTTGAATTTAATATGTGTATTTTAAATACATGTAATTCAAATACATGTATCATAAATACTTAATAAAATACATAGTTTGGATAAATTAAACTACCATGAAATTGAAATTGATTTGATGTTAATCCCTCTCATTGAGGCATTTTTACAAACACTTGATAGACAATATTAATAGGCATTTTTACCACTGCTCACGACGGCTTGATATGAACTGTGCTACCCTCATCACCGTCGCCCACTACCAGAAAATAAAAGATACAAGCTTGTTGTCATCGTGGGTGCTACAAGCTGCAAGAAGTCCTACCTTTCCCTTGGCTTGGCCGCTGTCTACTTTGCTTACTCTCAAGTCATCAACTCAAAAAATCCAAGTTTATGGAGATCTCGATATCACCACCAATAAATTACCTTTCCATTAGTGACTTGGCATCCCCACCACTTTTGAATGTGATCATTGGAGCTTCTTCAAAGAGCAGAGGAAGATGGAGAGAATGAGCAGGGAATTTGAAATTCACTGTCAAATTCATAGGTATGAGAGGGTATTTCAAATACATGCTATTTGGTCTTTAAAATACATAGGTTGAAATACATGTATTTAAACTAAAATTCAAATACACTTATATTTTGTAAAAACAAACAATGTATTTGACTTTATAACACCAAATTCAAATACACTCCTCTGCAAATTCATGTTCCCAAACATAGCACAAATGAATTTTTATTGTTGATAGAAAATAGTTCAATCAAGCTATTCACTTTCTACCACTTTGTGTTTTAATCGGTAATTTAACTAGTTAAGAGTATAAAATTTTAAATAAAAAATTTTAAATTTAAAT